AGCGCCTGGAGAACCATAGAGAAATACCCCTTCCGATTAACGTACTCTGATCCTATGTGGGGTGGTGCCAGAATAGGAATGTGCGTTCCATCTATCGCCCCTCCCATTTGTGCAAAGCCATCCACTATTTCCTGCATGTTACCCAGAGTCATGGTTCTTCTGAGTAGGATGCAATTAATGGCCCTGCAAACTTGCATCAACACGATTCCAATGGTCGACTTTCCCACTCCAAACTGGTTTGCAACCGACCGGTAGCTGTCTGGAGTTGCCAGCTTCCAGATTGCAATAGCCACCCGCTTCTCCACTGGCAGGGCAGCTCTCAATCTCGTGTCCTTGCGCCGCAGGGTGGGGGCAAGGTCCTCACACAGTCCCATGAAAGTGGCTTTTCTCATCCGAAAGTTCTGCAGCCACTGCTCGTCATCCCAGACTTCTATGATGATGTGATCCCACCACTCGGTGCTTGTTTCCCAAGCCCAAAAGCGGCGTTCCACGGTGCTGAGCATGTCTGTGAATGCCACGAGCAATTTCGTGTTGTACGCGTTACGCGGCTCGATAGCATCGTCGGACTCCTCATCCTCACTCTCACTTTGGATCTTAAGGAATAGTTCGACAGCCAAATGTGATGTGCTGGCGAGATAAGTCAGCATACGCCTCAGCAGTTCGGGCTCCATTTCCCGCAGACAACAGATCGCGCTGCACAGAAACCGTTGCAAGATGGCACCAAAGGTGGACAGAAACAAAGGGATTTCTGGGATGCGAAGCGATGCATCACGGGGGGTTGGGACAGGACCCAGAATGCCCCGCACTCACACCCCCTTCCCACAACCCACGGCGCCAGAATGGGAAGAGGTCTCTGTGGGATAGCTGCCCATAATGCACCGCTCCCAATGCTGCAGCAAATGCTGCAAATGTGGCCACGATAGTGCGCTGGGCAGCTGTCAGTGTGGACAGACTGCAGCGCTTTCCCTACTCAGCTGCACGAAGTCAGGTTTAACTCACAGCGCTGTACATATGCAAGTGTAGCCAAGGCCCTAAAAAAGCAGGCAAACGCTGCTTCTTTCCTGGAGTTCCTTGTAATAATTAGGTAGCAACATAAACTAATTGACCCTTTCAGTGTGTTAAGTGACCTCTGCCTCTTCTAAGGAGCTTAACTGCCCCTTAGACAGTTATCTGATGATCATCATTATAGAAGACTTGGTGCTGCAAGCAGCTCAGCAGTGAGTTTAGTGTGGCTGCATAGTCTCAAAACCCATCTAGTATTCCCATGTTAAACCACTTTGATTGCTTTGAGTATATTAGCCAGTTCAAAAGTAGTTTGTTTTAGGTCTGTCTTCAAATGGGAGCCATTGCCTACAGGTTTCAACCAGTGCCTTCAAAATAAGGACCCATTTGTGACAAACCGGGAAATTCCTGAGTTGCAGGCCTCTGTTTGGTTATGAAGGGTTACTTGGCTATGTATTTAAATCAAAGGAGGCTGCAAATAAGGAAATTCATAGGTAAGCTTCAGGCAACCTCCAGTACACATCTTCCATTCAGATAACAGTAGCTGGGCCACTGAAGGGGAAGAAACTGACTCCATCCAAGCTAGTTTTACTTTGCCCAAGGCTGTCTGGGATCAAAGGGAATTCTAAACTCTCAACGATCCTGGGAAAGGGAAGGGGTTTGGGTGAGCTGGGAGATGCTCGCCACTGTGTCAATGAAAAGCTGACAGGAAGAAAAAGTCACACGGGGAGACAGACATAGATGCTATAGGCAGATGCCGTTTGCTTCCCCCAGCTAATTGTGCTTTGTACCTTTTTGAGAGATTAATAAATAATGCTTTGTTTTGTAGATATTGTTTCTGTATCACTGCAAACGTATCCTCTCATAACCTCCTTCAGGGAAACTCGTACTGGTACCAAAACTGAGTTGGACATATGTTATAATATGGTTGGTAATCAGGTGTAGCCCAGCGATCCAGTCTGAGTAGTTGGCCCCCTTAGTTCCACCCAAAATGGGGGTAGGAAGGAAGGCCTGTCACCTAAGGGTTCACCCAGTAACCATGATCCCATTTCCCCACTGAGTTCATATTCAGTATCTGAGCATTTAGAACTCTAAAGCTTCTCAAAGCTTATGATTATTTCCATTATCAAAATCAGATTGGGGATAGGTTCCTTTGGAGCAGGTATTGCCATCAACAAATAAGTGCAATCAACGAATGAGATATGCTTTTCTAAACCTGGAAGAAATCCCACTTTCTAGCACTATAGAATACCTACCACTAAAGTGCTTTAAAACAAAGGACCACCCTTTCAACATCTCCCTTAACACTATTACTCAGTTCAGAAAAAAGGAACCTCATAGTTAGACTGAAGACTTTATTGGTATATTCTTTGTGTTTTTTACATAAAGAATTTTCCAGCTTTCCGTTTTGGACAAGCCTATGCCTTTTTATGTTTGAATGAACAAAAATTGCTTAAGAAGTGAATCTGTGTGGGCTTTCAGGGCAGAAAGGTGTGATAAGATGATGATGTAAATGGGTTAGATAAGATGGTTTTAAAAGCTTACTATTTCATCACTTATAGGACAAGTGGCTTTCTCTACCCAACCCACTCTGTCTACAAGAGTGTTTATTACCTGTCTTAAAAGAGCTGAATGTGTGGAAATACTTAGTGCTAAAGAACCTTAATGAGCTCCACCCAGAATTTACCAAACAAGTAATATTTGTTATAACAACTAGGTACTAAATGATATTTCTTCCTGTGCATTTAGTTTACAAACTAGATATAAAATTCCCTGATGTTCTTTTAGTTACATTATAAAAGGCAACCATGGTATTCAGTTTATATAATCAGTTATAAAACTGGAGATGGGAAGGTCCTACTTACTGTATCAGTCATCGTGTCATTCCTTTACCACTGCAGTGTTTGTTACAAGTACTCAAGTGTCTCTTGCCCATTCTAGTTTTAAAATGCCTCTAGCAATGGGACTTCCCTGCTTCTCTGAAGATGCTGTTCCATTGTCAAACAGACTTCATGACTAGGCAGTGTTTCCTGTGACTCATCTTGGATGGTTTATCAAGCCATGCTCCCTTGAAACCACTCTAATTCCTTTCTTCACTCTCCTTGGTGTTGACACACTTACATTTCCTTGGTGCTTCTCCCTCCCCTTACCCTCTTCGGCCACTGTTTACTCAATCAATATTCATTTCAGTCTTCGAATCTTTCCTTTCAAGACCGTTCATCACTTGTCTTGCTATCTTCTGAATACTCCCTAACTTGACATCATTAAGGCTGGATGCATCTAGAATTCTGTTTTTGTTCTGAGTGCCTGCATCAGTATGAACTCTCCTTTGCCAGCCTGTACACCAACAAAACACTCCAGATCTTCCCTTGCGTGAGGCGTACCACTGTTGTTGTTTGCAGTGTTGTAACTGTTAGATGTTAGAGAGACAAGGTGTGTGAGGTAGTATCTTTTATTGGACCAGCTTGTGTTGATGAGAGAGACAAACCCTTAAGCTTACACAGCTCTTCAGGTCAGTTCTGTGTAAGCGTGAAAGTTTTTCTCAGAAGTTGGATTGATAAAAGATATATTACCTCACCCACCTTGTGTCTCTGAGGTATACCAAACAGTCCAAAGTGAAGGACACTTTTAGTTGAGGGCTTGTCTACACTCAAGAAAATTAAGCTAGATTAACTAATGCTGTGAATTTAAATGCTCTCATTCGGAAGTAAAAGTGGCCTTAGTTTACAAACTATGCTTGTTGTTTTCCATTTTAGTGCTGCAGCTATTTTGGATCCCCGCTTCACGTCCTCTACACTGAACCCTTCCATGTCTGCTCTTGTATCCTAGAAAAATTTAGACCGTTGGACTAGGGTTACCCATGTGGATCAAAGGTCCAACCACCCAACAGTCTTTCAGGATCCTGTTAGGTATTGCAGTACTGCTTCACTAATGTCCCATGGAAAGGGCCCGTAGCCTCCCTGCCACATGACAGCTTTTGCATGCAGCCCAGAATCAAATTACGTGTACATACTTTTTTTGCAAACTCTCATCTGGTTTTTCTGTCTGTAAACTGTTGGCACTTTAGAAATGCATAGTAGTTTGAAAGCAGTAATCATAATAGTGCCAGATGTAAATGTAACTCTATAAATGAATGAATATCAATGTTTTGGGTTATTTCCTTCTCTGGGCTTTTTTATGGAGTGAGGCTCCTTTTACGTTCTTGGTATTTTTATCTAGAGCTGGCCTAAATATACCCGTTAATTGAAGGGAAAAGAGTAGTTACCATTTTATTATTTGCCCAGCTCCGTTTTAATTTTTCAATCCATTTGAAAACCTGTTGTCCTTGCTAGTGTTGATAAATGATGCGTTTTTGCCTAAATTCCCAATCACTGATAAATATGTTGTTCAAAATCAGACGTAACAGCAAGCCCTGGAGCATTTCATACTTTGCTTTATCTGATGGCTTCTGTATCATTCTCCAGCTAGTTTTCAGTCCATCTGACAGTGCTCATATCAAAGCCCATGATTGAATCTCTGCCAAATCAGATTTTGTTGAAGCACCTCATCAGATGCTTTGTAAAGTCCAGTTGCAAGGTGCCTACTGCAGCCCCTTTGCTTATTAGTGTTTGTGATACAAAAATCAAGCTTGTTTAGAATCCCTTTAATTTTTTCCTGGTATCTGCTCCGTTTGTAAGCTTGCCTAGAAAATTGCTAGCAGATCAGTAAGTTTATTAGCTAATTAAATAGACCTTTTACCAGTCCCTCTATAAATCCACACCTGCTGCTACTGATTCCCTTGCAATTTACAAGTTACTTTTCACTGGGCACAGACTTGTCATTTGATCTTTCCATTAATGCATTCACAATAGAAACTGTATTAAAAGGTGTTGTATGAAGAGAAACCAAAAATATATTTAGAGTTTGGTGGTTAAAGTCGTAAATTAAGTAACAGACTTTCTCAGAGAGGTACTACGTCCATGTCAGATACTAGACTGAGGTTGTTTGTTCTATTCTAGATCCTGGGTCTGGTGTGGAAGAAGCAGAATTCAATTGGGATGAGTATCTAGAAGACACTGGAGCAACTGCAGCCCCCCATGGATCTTTTAAACACGTAAGAGCTCTTTGTTTCTCAACTCCCTCCTTCTTCGCCTTTTTTCTTTCCAGCATCCTGAATATTTAGGGTTTCTTTGAGTTAGCATGCCTGAAAAGCTGTCTTGCCAATGGAAGACTTGTTGATCACATACATTTGAGAGCAGTGGAGAATGGTTTTTTGTTTTTTTGTTTTGGATTTTCCTATCTCCTTGGTTATCAGGAGGTGACCTCATCTCCAGCTGGTGGTAATGGAATGATCTAGAGACTCTTGAGCACTTCAGTATTAACTCTGGATCTCAGCACCTTCTGTGATAGTGTGGTCTGCCCAGTCCCTTTATTTCCCTATGCAGTGTGCCAGTGAATTGTCTTTTGCTGTGAGAATGTGCTCTAAGGGAGCTGTATTCTGGAAAATAGGAGCTGCAGTTCCTGGGATACAAAATATTTGAAACTGACCCAGGTGTGCTCTGAAGGGGAAAATTGCATGATGGACTGCAAAGGAATTGGCAGAAAATATTACTAGAATTATGTTATGCTTTACAAACACTGTCTTGATTACAGTAAAGAGTCCCTTAGGGCACAGGGCTCAGGGATGGTGTGGGGTGGGAGGGGATGCCTGGGTTCTCCCCTGACTTCCTGGGTGGTGATGAGTAAATCATTTACAGCAGATCCCTGGTGTTGGATGTGGTTACATTGTGCCACATCATTGCTGGAATCCGAGGTGTAGAGCCTGTGTATCTGGCCCTGGGTTGGGCATCAGTGCAGGTATAGAGACTCCTATGCCAGCCACCCCCTGCTGCCCACACAGGAAACGTAGAGGAAAGTCCCTTCCTCCTCCCATGCTATTCCATTATCTGGCTGCAGTTTTGGTCCCTTAGGCATTTCACATAACTTCGGGCATGGCTACACTTGCGAGTTAGAGTGCATTAAAGCAGCCCAGTACGTGCTAACTCACGATGCGTCCACACTGGCAAGACACGTAGAGCGCTCTGACGCCGCGGCTAGAACGCTCCTGGTAATCTACCTCGGCAAGTGGAATAACATTTGATGTGCCACCGCTGGAGCTGTTAATGCGCTCTGATCAGCCTGCAGAAGTGTCCCACAATGCCTGTTCTAGCCACTCTGGTCATCACTTTGAACTCTATTGCCCTGCACTCAGGTGAGCAACTGTCAGATCCGCCCTTTAAATTCTCTGGGAATTTTGAAAATCCCCTTCCTGTTTGCTAAGCCAGGCGTGGAGTGCTCTCAGCGAATCTTTGTAGTGGCCATGCCTCCACGCGCCAGGATGGAGCAGTGGCGAGGTGCTGGACCTCATCAGTGTTTCTGGGGAGGAAGCTGTCCAGTCCCAGCTGCGCTCCAGCCATAGGAATTACGATATCTTTGGGCAGATATCAAGGGACATGATGGAAAGGGGCCATGACTGGAATGCACTGCAGTGCAGGGTTAAAGTGAAGGAGCTGTGGAATGCCTACCGCAAAGCCTGCAAGGCAAACCGCCTTGGGGGCGACCCCACCTCCACTCCGAGTACCACCATGGACACTTCAGAGCCCAGTTCAACAAGGCAGGAGGAGGAAAGCGGGAGTGAGTGTGCTGAGGTGGAGGAAGACACCATGGAATCCCTCGATGCACGCAGCCAGGAGCTGTTTTTAAGCCAGTTGTGGCGGCTGGTGCTTGGGGAAGGACAAACACCAGAGGAGGTGCACGGTAAGCAGCTTTTATTTTGGGAAGTTATTCAGTGCAGGCTCTTGGGGCGAGGAGGGTTAGGGCTGCATGCATGCCTAGATGCGGAATAGGGCATTGATGTTCTTTCTCACGTCGCGGTAATCGGCCTCAGTAATTTCTTCAAAGGTCTCAGCCAGAACTTGGGCAATGCGCTTGCGTAGGTTTCTTGGGAGAGCCACTGTGGTCCTTGTTCCAGTCAGGCTAACATATCCGCACCACTGTGCCGCGAGGGGCGAGGGGACCATTGCTGCACACAGGCAAGCTGCATATGGGCCAGGGCGGAAGCCACATTGCAGTAGAAGACCCTCCCTTGCTTCCCAGGTCACCCTCAGCAGTGAGATATCTTTCGGATGAACTTCTGTGGAAAATGTGGGGACTGTGTTCAGTATAGGGGCCCCCTGCAGCTGTTGCGCTCTCCCCAAGGCACAGAAACCCAGAGGACAGTACAGCCATGAAACAATCAGTTCCCCTTGACCCTGTGCTTACTCACCCTTTTGGGGCTCCCATGGGTTATGTGCACTCGCTTTGGGTTGGGCAAATTATGCTATTGTGTAGACTGTGCTTGCCCTTAAGTATGGGGGGATCATTGCTCTGTCTGGTGTGAACAATGCTGCCTCTGTTAAGTGTTGCATTTTGTCTTTACAGATGCAACCTTGAGATCTTAGCCTTCCGTGTTATCACCATACGAAAGACTGCAAAGAATTAGGAAGAGACAACGTAGAAGTAAAGAAGACATGAAGTAATGCAGCAGTCCCTTAACGAGAATCTAAAAACTCAGGAGTGGAGGGAGTGTGAAAGGAGGATCCGCCAGCAGAATGAGGAGCGCAGGCACAAAAGCACAAAGCTCCAGCAACAAGGCACGGATCGGCTGATAAGCATCATGGAGTGCCAAGCGGACTCGATCCAGGTGCTGGTAGCCATGCAGGCGGAGCACTACCGTACCTGCCCATCTCTCCTCTCCTCCTTCCCCCCCCCCCCGCAGCTCTTGTCCCATGACTCTTTCCCTGTGCCCCCACCTCCAACCCACTTTCCCCAACATCTGGGTTCTTATCACCACCAGCTGCCTCCAACATCTGTAGCTTCACCACCCAGCCCTGAAAGATACGACCCTTACCCACTGCACTCAACCCCCATCACCATGCATTATAGCCATTCTGAAGTGCAACATTCATTGCACGTAAAGCTCTCCATCTGCACTTCCCTATCTACCACCTAATCCCCTTCTCCCTCCTTTGTGCTGTGTGGTTCGTGGCCAGAGGCCAAGGATCTGACCCTTAATCTCTTTTTATTCCTGTTTCCTCACCTATAAAATATGGATATTTACCTGCTTAATAAGATTGTTGAGTCTCTATTCATGAATAAAGCTTCTCAAAAAGCAAGGGAAACTTTAATTAAAGTTTGCAAAATTCCCCCCACTCCTGTTTGTTCAAAATTTTGACAAAATTTTGACAACTTTTGATCAGCTATATTCATGGATGTTCACAAAGTCCTTTGAAGCCTCAAAATAGGTAGATAAGTGCTGCAGACGTGTGAAACACTAGAAAATATTAAAATTCAGATCATGCTTTCTTTTAGATTTTTTTCTTTTTATATACAGTAAAGTTTTTTAGCCTTTGCAAAGTCTATTCCGTGCGTTTTGAAAATAATACCAATCAGATCGCTGAGTAAGAGTTCAGGTATCCGGTCTCTAAAAATGTGAACTATGAATTTTAATTTCCAGTATGTTAGGGTTATAGCATGAACTGAGCTTATTGAGAGTTACAGTACTGATTCAATCCAAGTTAGAAGAGCACACTTTCTATAGGACTGAACTTGCTAAGGAATCAGGCCCTTGGTACTCTGACAGTTATTGGAAGTGGATTTCCTTAATGCTTCTGAGGTACCTCCTGTCTATTTGTTCTTTGTTATGGGATTCAATACTTTAACTGGGTGATCTTTGATGTCAAGGGTCAGTGTAGGGCTGAGTCAGTAAATGTAGCAACTTGGTTATGTTGACTGTACGTGCATCTTAGTGTTCATTAATGCAAGCATTCATCAGTATGCTTGCGAAATTTTATTAAGGCCATGATTCTACCAGCATATCAGTGTTTGTCAGGGGTGTGAAGAGGTGTGATCTCTGACCAACATAGCTGTTGGTCAAAAGCCCCTGATGAAACTGCAGTTATACCTAGGGTTACCATATTTCGGCAAGCAAAAAAGAGGACGGGAGGAGCCCCGCCCTACGCCCCGCCCCTGCCCTTCCCACTTCCCGCCCCCCCCCGAACCCCCAACCCTCCCCCCGTTCCTTGTCCCCTGACTGCCCCCTCCTGGGACCCCTGCCCCTAACTGCCCCCCAGGACTCCACCCCCTATCTAAGCCTCCCTGCCTCTTGTCCC